TAGTGACGGACCGTCAGTAGTGACGGACTGCCAGTAGTGACGGACCACCAGTAGTGACGGACTGCCAGTAGTGACGGACTGCCAGTAGTGACGGACCACCAGTAGTGACGGACTGCCAGTAGTGACGGACCGCCAGTAGTGACGGACCGTCAGTAGTGACAGACTGTCAGTTGTAATGGACCACCAGTAGTGACGGACTGCCAGTAGTGACGGACCGTCAGTAGTGACGGACTGCCAGTAGTGACGGACCACCAGTAGTGACGGACTGCCAGTAGTGACGGACTGCCAGTAGTGACGGACCGTCAGTAGTGACGGACTGCCAGTAGTGACGGACCGCCAGTAGTGACGGACCGTCAGTAGTGACAGACTGCCAGTAGTGACGGACCGCCAGTAGTGACGGACCGCCAGTAGTGACGGACCACCAGTAGTGACGGACCACCAGTAGTGACGGACCGTCAGTAGTGACGGACTGCCAGTAATGATGGACCGTCAGTAGTGACGGACCGCCAGTAGTGATGGAGAGTCAGTTGTGATGGACCGCCAGTAGTGACGGACCGCCAGTAATGATGGAGAGTCAGTTGTGATGAACCACCAGTAGTAATAGACCGTCAGTAGTGATGGACCGCCAGTAGTGACGCACCGGCAGTAATGATGGACCGCAAGTAAGGACGGACCGCTAGTAGTGACGGACCGCCAGTAATGATGGAGGACAAGTAATGAAGGACTGCCAGTAGTGACGGACCGCCAGTAATGATGGACCGCCAGTAGTGACGGACCGCCAGTAATGACGGACCGCTAGTAATGATGGACCATTAGTAAAGATGGACCGGCAGTAATGATGGACCCCCAGTAGTGACGGACCGCCAGAAATGACGGACTGCCAGTAGTGATGTCCCGCCAGTAGTAACAATACCGCCAGTAGTGACGGATCGACAGTATTGGCGGACTGCCAGTTGTCGGAAAATCCGACATCATTTAATAATATTACATACAGGCAGATAATATTGCTGCCAATTTATACACAAGTTACCCATAGAAAATGTAACTTGTAGTAGAATTTTCCGTCTATAGAAAATGGGATATCATTGCCACATACTATTATAAATTCACCACCTATTATGGTGGTAATTATTCTTAAATGGTAAAGGGCTTTGGACCTTTACCATCATAAAACATCTCATTTAAATTAATTTAATTATCAGTATTAAAATAGAGTAAATGTGACCCTTCTATCACTTTCTGATATCTGGACAATGTAGGCCAGTAGCGTCAGTGAGGGAGTGGTCAGCCATTGTTGTTTAAGACCAGAGGCGCACGGGAGTAAACGGCTCCTGTTAATTTCTGTTGGACGAAGTGTTATGGAAACCAAAGGTCTTCCATCATCAACTCGCTGTCAACAAATACAAGGAAAGTGTTCTGCCGAAACCCATTTATCTAATCATTTTTGGCCATTAATGTCAGTAGATAGGGCGACCCGGTCAGAATGTGAACAGCCTCTTAGTGAAAGGTAATTAAGCCTTGGTCTTTATAATTAATTATACAGTGTTTTCTCTGATATAGCTGTCATATATTAGGATTCTGGCTTCATAGCTAGCGCCCTGTTGACAGGTCAAGAGGAGGAAGCAAACTTTGTGTACCAGTTACTGGGTGATGGAAGCTACCTCACACGAGGAAATTTGGTGTCTACATCCTAGTTATATCTGGTGGACTAAGCCTGCTGTGTAATAAGATAAGGAACCTCCTCAATGTATACTAATATATGTAGTTTAATACTGTAGTTTGATTGGTTGCATATATATAAATTCAATATAAACCCCCCCCCCTAATGTGTAGTGAATCGATTTGTGAGATTATTGCAGAAATACAGTCAACTTAACAACATACAAATTGCTATCGAAGTATATAAATTAATGTAAATATAAATTCTATATAAATTCATATAAATTAAATAAATATAAATCTCACAGGTTGGTTCCCACATTATTTGGACCTTCGGAACCGGATTATTTGGTCCTTTGAGCCCACTTTATTGGTCATCTTCGAGTCGGATGACAGATTATTTGGTCATCTTAGTACCGGATGAACCAGTTAACCAGTGGATTCATTAAATATACTAGTGCAGTGTGATTTATACAAAGCCAGTCAATGACCGTTGGCGTAGCCTCCCTCAAGCGAGCTCAGGAACCCCACAGCTCAGTCTAGCTTCATCAGCGTTTCATGGTCACCCACAGATTTGGTGGGTTCTTATCCCGTGACCGCGCTTATATTGAAGCCAGCCAAATTAGTGGCTGTGTCCTCGCAAAATTGTTCACGGATTTCGTGGTGTTAAATTTCGCGAGAGATTATCTACTAATTTTGTGGAGTTTATTTCGCGAGGTCACTAATAATATTTAATACTTCTTGATAATATTAGAAGTTTCATAGAGGTAATTAAGAGGCTATTATCAATAATTGTGTATATTATTTCTCCAAAATAGAGAATTATTTCATATATATTGCACTAGTGTTCTCAATATAATATTTACCAATTGCCATCCCACAACAGGGTAGGATATACATTGACTAGTGTTTATAGATAACCTAGTCCCCTATTACCATTGACTAGTTGAACTATTTATTGTTCATCCTAGTCCCATTATTACCATAGTCTAGTTGTACTATATTAAACAACCTAACACCATTATTGAATGGTGCAGACCCTATTTTGGGTGTAATTGTTACCAACTTGAGTTGAGTTGTGTATATATAATAATTTACTTATGATCATTAAACCTTTGAGTGATTAATGAGTGTCTATACCATCCTAGGGTGATATAGAAGAGCTAACCTAAGGTACTTCCAGTGACACTAGTTTATCACTCAAATCATTAGTGTGTATGATTGTATATATATGATGTGTATTAATTTTAAGTGCTAACCTCTAGTAGAGGTAAGATTATAGCCTAGTGAGTGCAGAATTTTTACCCTAGGCTACCATCAGTGCTTGTTCAGCATTATGAGCAGCCCCAGTACAAGCCTCACAAGGCTTAACCAACTAGCCAGTATGAATAATGCTGGCAATGAGAAACTGTCATACATCTAGTACTACAATTGCTGGACTTACCTCTACCTGATCAGACTGCTGACTCATTACAATCCTTCAGCATGGAGTTTGAGTCACTACTAAGAACATTCAGTCTTAAGGTTGATATAACTACTAGTGAATGGATGACCAAAGTAGTCCTTCAACGAAAATTGTCCAGCGATATACAAGATGAATTATATGCACATCAACATAACACCATCCTGACAGTACAGGACATCACTGAAGGTTTACATTCCATCATAAACAAACGACGTGCAAATGAGGAAGTTAAAGCCTCATGCAAGCCTTCAGAAATAGAAAATAATAGTCAATTAATGGGTAAAACAACTTCCCCAAATAAACATCAGTCAATTACTCTAACATCAAGTTGCAGAAAATCTGACAATGCAGCAGAATCCTCCAAGCCTACTGTTACTAGTTCACCCAAACCGGTAACTTCCAAACGTGCAGTAGGCTGGGGGACATGTATGTTCTGCAAAAAGAAAAATTCAACATACTGTTGTGCTAATTATCCAACCAGAGACACTCGTATTGAGCGACTCCAGGAATTAGCGAGATGTGCAAGGTGTCTCAAGTCACAACATAGACTATTGTGATACCCAATTCAACACCTGCAACAGGTGTAGAAGAGGTAGGCACCATGCAGCACTGTGCAAACATACAAAATTAACGTATTCAAGACCCAAGGTGGAAGATAGCATTCCCACCACTGTACAGTACTGCAAGGTGCAACAAACGAAGAGTGTCCAATCGGCAAGGTCTAAAGGTAATACGACTTTGCCTACTGCCAAAATTACCATCCTGAATAAGAGGGCCAAGGTCCCATACCCGTGGGTTGTTTGACCAAGGGTCCCAGAGAACATATGTCACTAAAAAGTTGGCAGATGAACTACAATTAAGGCCTGTAGCCCAGACGTCATTCAACATCTCAGGGTTTGTAACAGATGCAGGACCTCAAGTCTACCAGGTGGTACAACCATCAGTACGTTTAGGCAGGTACGTCTGTCGAGTACAAGCCATTGTGGTGGACAAAATACCAGTAGACCTACAAGTTCAAGGTCTGAGAGCAACAGCCAAATTCCTGAGAAATAGAGGAATAAAATTGGCAGATAATATTTAGTCTGATCACCTCACCGACTTCGGTCTCCTTGTAGGGACAGACTATTGCCATCGATTCATCGGTAACCCTACTAAATATCAGGGCAAAACCATGTTAAATTCTGCAGGAGGTAAATTACTCTCAGGCCCAATATCAAGCCTGAGGAGACCTATGCCTGCAAATAAACAGTACCAGTAGAAATCTAAATATGTCACCTGATTATATTTCTCCAGTAGCATTATACTAAGGATATTACAGCTGACTATAGTAACAGAGGTTGATGTTAATATCATCATTTAAAGCTGAAGATGAGTTCATGAGGCCTCAGTGCCAAATCAGTGAACAGTAGCCTAAACATCTACAAGTCACTGCGACCAATGTCACTGAACCAACTGCAGTCTCAGAACCATTCTTTACTCTAATGATGAGCTATTCAATCTTCTGAATCAATTAACTAAATTAAACCCCAATAAATCTGATGACTGATTTGATACATTTATTATTTAATCAAGATGTATTCCATGGGCCTCAGTGTTTATATATCAGTGACCAGTTACCTGAAGAAACTTCAAGTTATATTCATTAATATAATAAATACGTTATGACTCAGTTATTCCCTCAATAATCATAACTGGGTTATAACACCGATTTGTCCAGATTCAATAATACAAAAGTCAACGTTCTGTTGTTCCATAACTACATATTGGTACTTTATTATAAGCACCCTCATATTAGAAGGTTGACAGTTTTATCCTCACTTTATCTACATTTATCTCGACGTTTCTGTTTCTTCCATAAATCTCGGAGTTGTGTTAACCCTGGCGCACGAGACCAACAATGGCAGGAAGAGCGAGGTCAATAGCGTGGGCTCGTCTGGTCATCATTTCCTCCCTGGCTGTCACTTGGTGTCTGGGGAGGCTGCCTCTCCCCGCCAGTCTTGGTAAGCCAGTCACGTCTCTCCCAAGACTTGTTTATGTACAAGCACTCCATAAACATTTGTCACAATACTCTTGAAACAAGACTCGGATGTTGCAGTTTCATAAATTAAACAATCTAATGTGTTAGACAAATGTTATTATTCGGTGAATAACCTTAACTTTATATGAAAATCATATATAAAACAATTACCTAGAACGAACTGGAAATTGAGAGAATATTATATATAAACAAGAACAATTTGACCGAATTTAGTGAATTTTTACAAAGTAAATTCACAAAATCGTTTGAAATTATAAAAATAAAGGAATGTTAACTATCAATAGAGCTCAGTCACACAATCATACAGTCATACAGTCACACAGTTACAAAATCACACAATCACACAATCACACAAAGCTAACGAAAACCATAACAAACGCATTTCCACAGGACTACTATACAGTGAGGAAAGAGAAAGAAGAGAGAGGAGGAGGTTGTATAGCTTTGCTGATAAGAAAAGGTTGGAAATTTGAAGAGATGGTTAATCAAGGCTGTGAAGGTTTCAGTGACTACATATCAAGCACCATAGCAACTGGAGGACAGAAAATTATAGTGGTAGTCATATATAACCCCCCACCGAACGACAGAAAACCCAGACAGGAATATGATAGAAACAACTTGGCCACCATCAATATAATAGAGAGAGCAGCTTCTGTGGCTAGCAGGAACGGATCCAGACTAATCATAAGAGACTTCAACCGCGGGAAGATAGATTGGGAGAACAGAGACCCACCTGGAGGACCAGACACATGGAGAGCTAAGCTGCTGGACGTGACAACAAGAAACTGTCTAAGTCAACATATCAAGGGACCGACAAGAATGAGAGGAGGGGATGAACCAGCCTTGCTTGATCTGATATTTACCCTAAATGAGTCGGATATAAGGGAAGTTAAGTTGGAAGCCCCCTTGAGAATGAGTGATCATAGTGTATTGAGCTTTGAGTACCTGATTGAGCTAGAAATTATCTCCCCCCAAAAAGGAACTGGGAAACAAAGGGCTGGCCTACCGAAACTATGAAGAGATAAATACATTCCTATGGGATATACCATGGGACACAGAACTCAGAACTAAGTCCGTACAAGACATGATGGACTATATCACCCAAAAGTGTCAGGAGGCAGTAAACAGGTTTATCCCGGCCCAACAGGAAAAAATCGGAGAAGCAAAAGAAGAATCATGGTTTAATTGGGTATGTATGAAAGCAAAGGGGCTGAACAAAAGGGCGAGGAGGAACTTCCGAAATAACAGAACACCAGAAAATAGAGAGAGATACCAGAGAACCAGGAACAAGAATGTTAGTGTGAGAAGAGTAGCTGAGAAAAGGTATTAAAATAATATAGCTAATAAAGCCAAGACCGAACCAAAGCTACTACACAGCCACATCAGGAGGAAAACGGCAGCGAAGGAACAGGTGATGAAACTTAGAATGGGTGAGGACAGGTACACAGAGAATGACAAAGAGGTGTGTGAGGAACTTAACAAGAGGTTCCAGGAGGTCTTTACAATAGAACAAGGAGATATCAAGGCGCTAGGAAAGGTGGCAGCAAACCAGGCGACCTTGGAAGAGTTCGAAATAACAAGAGATGAGGTCAAGAGGCACCTATTGGAGCTGGACGTGAGAAAGGCTGTTGGGCTGGACGTGAGAAAGGCTGTTGGGCTGGACGGAATCTCAACATGGGTATTGAAAGAGTGTGCAGGAGCACTTTGTTTGCCACTCTCCATAGTGTACAGTAGGTCACTGGAAACGGGAGACCTATCAGAAATATGGAAGGCGGCTAATGTAGTCCCAATATGCAAAAAGGAAGACAGACACGAGGCACTGAACTACAGGCCAGTGTCATTAATTAACTTGTATACCATGCAAGGTGATAGAGAAGATCGTGAGAAAAAACCTAGTAACACATCTGGAGAGAAGGGACTTCGTGACAACCTATCAACATGGGTTCAGGGAGGGTAAATCTTGCCTTACAGGCTTAATAGAATTCTACGATCAGGTGACAAAGATTAAACAAGAAAGAGAAGGATGGGCAGACTGCATTTTTTTGAACTGTCGGAAAGCCTTTAACCCACAAAAGTACCCCATAAAAGGCTGATGCATAAGCTGGAGAAACAGGCAGGAGTAACTGGTAGGGCGCTCCAGTGGATAAGGGAATACCTAAGCAATAGGAAGTAGAGAGTTACAGTGAGGGGTGAGACCTCAGATTGGTGTGAAGTCACCAGTGGAGTCCCACAGGGTTCTGTACTCGGGCCTATCCTGTTTCTGATATACGTAAATGATCTCCTTGAGGGTATAGACTCATTCCTCTCAATGTTTGCTGACGATGCCAAAATTGTGAGAAGGATTAAAACAGAGGACAGCTTGAGGCTTCAAGAAGACCTGGACAAGCTGCAGGAATGGTCGAACAAATGGTTGTTAGAGTTTAACCCAAGCAAATTAACGTTTGCAAATTAAATTATCATTTGGGAGATGAAATACTTCAAGAGTCAGAGAGAGAGAAAAAGACCTGGGGGTTGATATCACGCCAGACCTGGCCCCTGAAGCTCATATCAAGAGGATAACATCAGCGGCATATGCCAAGTTGGCGAACAAGAACGGACTTTAGAAACCTGTGTAAGGAATCTTTGAGAACATTATATACCACCTATGTCAGACCAATCCTGGAGTATGCGGCTCCAGCATGGAGTCCATATCTAGTCAAGCATAAGACAAAACTGGAAAAGGTTCAAAGGTTTGCCACCAGACTAGTACCCGAACTGAGGGGTATGAGCTACGATGAGAGACTACGGGAATTAAACCTCACGTCACTGGGAGACAGAAGAGTTAGAGGGGACATGATCACCACATAAAAGATTCTCAGAGGAATTGATAGGGTAGATAAGGACAGACTATTTAACACAAGGAGCACACGCACTAGAGGACACAGTTGGATATTGAGTGCCCAAATTAGCCGTAGAGACGTTAGAAAGATTTTTTCAGTGTCAGAGTAGTAGACAAATGGAATGCATTAGGAAGTGATGTGGTGGAGGCTGATTCCATACACAGCTTTAAGTGTAGATATGATAGAGCCCAGTAGGCTCAGGAATCTGTATACCAGTTGATTGATAGTTGAGAGGCGGGACCAAAGAGCCAGAGCTCAGCCCCCGCTAGCACAATTAGGTGAATACAATCACAGTCACTCAATCATAGTCACACAGTTCGGACAGTTCAAAGGCAGCAGACAAGTTCGTCCCAGTCCAAAAGGAAAAAATGGAAATACAGATGAGAAACCCATGGTTTAATCAGAGTTGCAAGCTAGAAAAGCAACTAAGTAAAAGGGGGTGGAGAAACTAAAGAAACAACAGAACACTAGAGAGCAGAGGAAGATACCATAGCGCCAGCAATGAATACGTCAGGGTGAGAAGAGAGGTAGAAAGGCAATATGAAAATGACATAGCGAGCAAGGCAAAGACTCAACCCAAACTGCTGCATGGCCACATCAGTAGGAAAACAACAGTGAAGGAACAGGTAATGAAAGTGATGATAAGGGCAGAAAGATTCACTACAAACGACAAGGAAGTGTGTGAGGAACTCAGTGAGAAGTTCCAGGAGGTCTCCACCTCATAGCAAGGAAACGATCCAGAGATAAGGGAAGGAACATCAAACCAGACACCACTAGAGGAGTTTGTGATTACCAGTGGGGAGGTGAGGAAGCATCTGGTAGATTTGGATGTGACAAAGGCTATAGGCCAGGATGGAATCTCACCATGGATTGTAAAGGAAGAAGCAGCGCTGTGCCTGCCACTCTCCATGGTTTACAAAAACTCACTGGTAACAGGTGAACTGCCAAAAATTTGGAAGACGGCCAATGAAGTCCCAATATACAAGAAAGGTGATTGGCAGGAGGCACTGAACTACAGGCGAGTGTCCCTAACCTGCATTCCATGTAAGATGATGGTGAAGAGTGTGCGAAAAAAGCTGGTCGAACCTCTGGAGCGAAAAAACTTCATAACACAACATCAGCATGGGTTCAGAGATGGCAAATAATGCCTAAAGGTTTAATTGAGTTCTATGACCAGGCAATTGTACTGCCAGAAAGCTTTTGACTCAGTGCCACATTAGAGACTAGTGCGCAAACTGAAGATGCAGGCAGGAGTGAAAGGGAAGGTACTCCACTGGGTAAGGGAGTACCTAAGCAACAAGACACAGCGAGTCACCGTGAGGGTTGAGGTCTCGGAGTGGCGGGGAGTCACCATTGGAGTCCCACAGGGATCAGTCCTTGGACCTATACTGTTTCTGGTATATGTAAATGATCTCCCAGAAGGAATTGTCTAGTTCCTCTCGATGTTTGCTGATGATGCAAAAATTATGAGGAGGATCAAGACAGAGGAAGATAGTACGAGGCTATAAGATGACCTAGACAGACTGAAGGAATGGTTTGTCAAATGGCTACTAAAGTTTAACCCAAATAAATGTAAGGTAATGAAACTAGGAATAGGAACTAAGAGGCCAGTCACTGGATAACGGATGGGAGATGAAGTCCTTCACGAAACGGACAGAGAAAAAGATCAAGAAGTTGATATCATGCTAAACCTGTCTCCTGAAGCCCACATCAAAAGAATAACATCAGCGGCCTATGCAAGGCTGGCTAACATCAGAACTGCTTTCAGAAACCTGTGTAACAAGTCCTTCAGAACCTTGTATAGCACATATGTAAGACCAGTCCTGGAGTATACAGCCCCAGCATAGAGCCCGTACCTAGTCAAGCACATGACGAAACTGGAAAAAGTTCAGGGGTATGCAACTTGACTAATCCCAGAACTAAGAGGCATGAGTTATGAGGACAGACTGCTTGAACTGCACCTCACGTCGCTGGAATACAGAAGAGCTAGGGGAGACATGATCAAGCCATACAAAATTCTCTGGGAAATTGATTGATAGGGTAGACGAGGCTGGAATATTTAACACGGTTGGTACACGCACAA